GTCCCTCTGGCCTGCACGCCCGGCTACTAATCTAGGGTCTGTGTCCCAGCTCCTTCTGCACCCAGGACCCCTGGGGGCGCCACCTGACCCTCAGTTAATTTGCTCCTCCCACTCTCTGTCCCGCTGAAGGTGGCCTGGGTGCGCTTAGGGACGAGGCTTCCCTCTCTGGGTTCCAGGGTCTCTGCCTGTGAGGGAAGATGATGCCACCAGTGTCTCTCGCTGTGCTGCTGATGCATGCTGGCTGCTGTAACAGCCGGAACCTGGTCGTGCAAAGGCCCTGGGGCTCCGGGCAGCAGTGGCCAAGGGGACAAGCTTGGGTTCCCTCTGGGAATGTCGCTGCCAGCCACTGCTGTTGAACTCAAGCCTCATACCAGCCCTGGTGCGCGCGGAGGGGAGGAAACTGAAACCCAGAGAGGTTCAGTGACTTTCCCAGGGATGCACAGCCAGCGAGCAGAGAACCAAGGATTCTCTGTCTCTCCCTGGCCTCGCGGCTGCTTGCAGCCCCACCAGACCCACTCTTGTGTGCCCCAGACCACAGAGGGACAGTGCCCTGGCCTGGGAGCTAGAGAGGGGACAGCTGGGGGACAAGAGAATCATGGCATAGAAGATAAACAGCAAAGAATGCTAAAAGGCAAAAGACAGAAAATACCTTCCATGCCCTGCCACAGAGGCAGGGTGGGATGGGGGAGGGATGCTGGGATCAGTGGTGGTGGAGAATGGGCACTGGTGGAGGGATGGGTACTCGATCATTATATAACTGAAACCCAGAGCTGCGATTAGCTTACAGCTCAGAGGGAGCCGCGGGCCGTGTGGGGCAGGAGGGGCCGGGCCTCTGTGAAGACAGCACCAAGGTGGGGGGCTTGGCCCTGGAACGGGGGTGGGGTGGGGGCGGGCCCCCCTCAGGTTTGCAGAGGACCGGGTGGCAGGTCTTGTCTGGGGGATGGACACCTAATGCCCACCAGGGCCGGGAGGGGAAAGCACGGGGTTCTCAGTGTCCCAGGGAGCACGGGGTCGGGGCTTGGGGTCAATGGGGTTGCCGGGGTCCGGGGGCTCCGTCTCCACCATCAGACTAGCAGTCAGCGCCCTCGGTCTGGGTCCTGCTCGGGGGCTCTTGTGGCTACGTGGAGGATGCGGCACTGAACCCCTGTCGCATGAAGACCACCCACTCCGCATCCCCCGGGCAGTGTCGGGGTCATGGGACGTCCCGGCCTGAGCAGCCCCAGAGGGGTCCAGGGAACGAGGTCCGCTGGGCGCCCCAGGGCAGACTTGGGCACTGCCTGGACTTCAGGCGTCCTCTCTGGAAAGGGGCAGAGAGGGGCACCCTGGAGAGGCCAGGCGGTGGGTGGGGACCCCAGGGAACGGCGTGCTTAGTGCCAAGGTGGGGCACGGATGTGGCCGCGGGCAGCCTGGCCTCTGCCCCTCCGCCCCCCCATGCCCTCCTCATTGGCCCCGGGACCTGGCAGGTGGAGGGGGTGAAGACAAGGGGACTTGGGCAGCGCGTGGGCGAGGCCTGCAGGAAGGGCCCGGAAGGCCTCAGATCACACAGAGGACACATGTCTCCAGCCAGGGGCACCCGAGACTCCCCCTGACTCAGGCTGCAGTGTGACCGAGACCTTCACTGTCGGCTGACAGTCACTGAGGTGGCAGGACCCGGCCTGTGTGCCAGATGTTGCATGGGGCAGGGCTGGCCCAGGCCACCAGCACTCCGGGCCAGGAGGAGCCATGGCTGTGCTCTGGGAGGGGGAGGAGGAGGAGGAGAAAGAGGAGGAGGAGGAGGAGGAGGAGGAGAAAGATGAGGAGGAGGAGGAGGAGGAGGAGAAAGAGGAGGAGGAGAAAGAAGAGGAGGAGGAAAAAGAGGAGGAAGAGGAGGAGGAGGAAGAAGAGGAAGAGGAGGAGGAGGAAGAATGGAGGAAGAGGTGGAGGAGGAGCAGGAGGAGGACTATGAACCAGCACTACGGGAAATGGTGCTTTTCTGGGGGTTCGGCTGGAGTTGGGGGGGTCACACCCGGTGGTGCTCAGGGCTCACTCTTGGCTCTATGGGGGGGGGGTCAAACTGCGTGGACTGAGTGCAGTGGGACCCTCCACAGTCCTCCCCACGATGGAGGCTGAGGTCACACCAGACTGGCGGCCCCACGGGGATCCCTTCTCGGGGAGAGGCGTTGGGTGTGTGCCTCAGAGACCCCAGACTCAGGGGAGCCGGGAGAGAAGTCTCTGGTCCCCACAGGCACAGCTGTGAGGGCAGGTGCAACCCCGCGGCAGAGAGACGTGAGCGGGGATGCTTGGAGATGCTCTGGGCTCCCCACACTGCGTGTCCCTTTGGGTGGAGAGAGAGCTACTCCCAGGTGCCCCCCAGGGCAGGCCACTGGCCACGTCCTTTGTGGCAGAAGGAGGAAGTGGAGAGAGGAAGACCCGGTTGGGGGTGACCCTGCAGTGTCCCCCTGGCCAGGCTGACACTGCTCAGGAAAGTCTCACCTCTGATTTAGCGTAACAAAACTTTTAATGTAGATGTTTTCATCTCTCTCTCCAAGTAAAAATAAGTTTAAAATAATGACTGTAATAAATGAAGGTAATTAATTGTAGTTTGTTCCTTTACTGTCTAGTCAGCTTAATTTTACCTTTTCAACTAATAATGAGAAAATAATTTTTGTGCTCGGAGGGTTAATGATATGTAACTGCGAGAACTGCTAATTGCATGTTGCAATCCATCCATCAACAACCCCATCTGTGCGACTTGATTATGTTTGCTAAATTATTGCTTTGAATTATCTTTCATAAAGCAACTTTTGTAATTAGCGGGGCTTTCGTCTTGCTCTTTTCTCTGTGCGCAAGGATATTCAAACTTTGGCCATTTCAAGCTGTCTCCATTAAGTCCCGGGCTGTCTTTGTTTCTCGAGCAGGGGAATCAAGCCTGTCCTTCTAGCAATCAAGTCGGGAGGAAAAGCTTCCTGATTCACAGCGGGCCAAATGCGCTTTCTCTCCACCCTTCTCCCCAGCACCGCAAGAGAGAGGGAGCAAGAAAGCCAGCCAGCCAGCCAGCCAGCCAGACAGACAGACAGACAGACAGACAGATGGAGCAGAGAGGGTCTCTCTCGCCATAGAAAGAGAAGAAAAGGAGGCGGCCTGGGGGCTGCCGGAGCGGAATTAAGGAATGAACTCGAACACACGATATTTCAACGCGAGGCGGGGATGACGGGCGCGGTGTTCAGCCCTGGCGTTTTATGGGCTAGTTTATGGGACTTGGGCCGGTGTTTGCCTCGGGGAATATTCCCGGGAGGTGATTAATACCCACTTGGGGACCCTGCGCTCCAGCCCGGAGCCTGGTGGATGGAGACCGGGAAGCAGCAGAAAGGATGAGCCCTCATTAAAAAAATTAAAATGAAAATCAGATTTGGATTATAAATGGCCGGAGCCGCTGCAGTCTGTTCTGGACGGAGAAGATGCTTTTTATTAACACCTTTTCCGTGGCTGCCTCTGCGCCCCCAGGCGCGCGGCTGAGACGCGGATTAGCCAATAGATCACGAGGAAAGCAGGGGCTTTGGGAGTACCACGCCAGACACATGCAGTCTTTTTTGGGGGTACATTAAAGGGACGACTGAATGGCCTCTTAAAAAAATTAACGAAGTTCTTGGAGGATCCCCAGCTACTCAAACAGCGTCGATGCCACACGGCACATGGGCGGGTTTGGAAACGACAGATCTCCGCTGGACCCCCGAGAGTTGTGCCCCCCGCACCGACTGGCCACCTCGAGGGGGTCAGAGGGCGCACAGTGGGGCTGTGAGTTTCCTGCCCCCCACACTGCTGAGGTGGGCAGTGGCAGAGGTCTAGGCCCCTCTAAGCTGTCGGACACCGCACCCGGGGTCTCTCCGGATCCCCGAAGACCTTGGCCATCGAGTCAAGGAGACACGTTTCCGCTCGGGCCTGACGGCAGTGGCAAAACCCAAATCAACCTGCCCAGGGCTCACACAGTAGGGCAAAACCGAGCAGAGCTGTGAGCTGGCCCTGGATTTCCTGACGCCTAGCACATGCTCTGGTCCCTGCCCGCCCGTGACTGCTGCCCTCAGCGTCTCCCGGGCCATCACTTGCTGCTTCCTCATCCTGACCCTGTGGCTCGTCCCTCTCTGCAGCTTCCAAGGTGCCAGGCGTGACCTTGAACCTGTGCTCCGCTTGAAATCCCAGAAACCCTCCCCTCTCCAACAACAGGCTGCTCCCAGTGTCCTTCGTCCCGAACTCAGCAGGGAGAAGGGACCCGCGGGTGGCTGCGAGGCCTCGGCCTGCTTCGTCTCCCTCTGGCCAGGCCCGGTGCCCAGCGCCCGTCCAGCCCCACCACAGTCCCGGCTGCTCCCCCCTCTCCCCGTCTCCCAGGCCCTGCGGCTCAGGCCCCTCGGAACCAAACGCCCGGGACCAGAGAGGGCCACACGCACGCACAAGCACATCAGTGAAGCCGGTCACAGAACCAGGGAGGAGAAACGTGGGCGGCGCTCTCAGATGCCCTGTCCAGGGGAGGCTCTGGCCAGGGTGGGCCCTTCCGGGGTCCTGCGTGGATCCCGGGCAAATGGCCGGAAGACAGACCTTTGAGAAAGGACCTTCTCCTCCTGCTGACCTCCCCTGCCCGCCAGGCACGGGGACAGGAACTCTCATGAGGAGGGCCACCGCGAGGAAAGACGGGAAGGTCAGGCCCACCACGAGGCCCCGGAAGGCAAAGGGCAGCCGTGGGGTCAGCAGGAAGGAAGGGACCTGCCTGCATGAGCCGCGTGTGCGTCTGAGAGGACCAGCAGAGTCAGGGAGGGCAGAGGCTGTCAAGAGCAGGGGTGTCCCCAACTTCCGGTCAGGAGAAGCTGGGAGTGGACGTGAGGCTGGGCACCGGCCCAGGCCGGACACTGGAACCCACGGGGCAGGAGGACCGTTCCCACGGACCTGCCACTGGCTCAACTGGGACGAACGGGACAGATCTCTCCTGTGGGGGTGCGGGGACAGGGAGGGATCGCGGCCACGGCTCTTACCTCGGCTTGGAAGCTTTTCAACACAGGCGCCACCATCTCTCTGATCTCCTGAAAGAGACAGCGCAGAGTTCAGTCGTGTGCTGGGACTGTCCCCCCAGCACCCCACTCCATGCTGCGTCACGCCAGGCTGGCTTAAGGTTCACGCTGACCCCCTCCCTGCGGGCTGCTGGGAGTCAGGGAGCTATGCATGAGGGGCTGGGGGTGCCAGGAGGCAGGGAGGAGGCTGTGTCCCAATCCGCCTGGGTGGGGGACGCTCTTTCTGGTAAAGGACCTTGGGAGTTGCCCACCACGGGATGCTTAGGGGGACCCCAATTCTCCACCCGTCACCATGTCATCAGAGGCTCCGCTGACAGCTGGGTCCTCCAGGATGCTATCTGGGGAAGGGGCTCCCTCGGGGGCCCCCTGGTCCCCGCTCCGGGAAGGGCTGCGGGCGGCAGCTCTGTTCTGCAGTTTTTGGGGCCTCAGCTGGGCCAATTCTGCAGTCCCAGCTAAACGCTGCTGAGCTCTGGGGCGCGCGGCTCGCTCCCAGAGGTGGTCTGGCCACGGGGGACCCTAACTTCGGCGCCTTTCCCCAGTCACCCAGGGGTTACTAACCCGGGAGCCCCCTACTGGCAGAGAGAGCTGAGGCCCTTCTAGAACCGAGGACCCCAGGATCCCAACCCTGACACTCTGGTGTCCTCTGAGACCCCCCCCAGTGAGTCCCCCCAGGCTGGGTCCAGGGCGGCTGGAGGGGGCAGGTGGGGCGGGTGGCAGAGAGAAATGGGGAGCAAACTGGCGGCCGCAGAGGATGGACCCCTTCACCTTGGGATGGGGGGCACTTCGACGGCGGGAAAGGTTGCCCTGGTCCTGGGGCCCCCTTGTCACTGTCTGGGCTTCCCCAGGGCCTCGCAGAGTCGCACCCCCCCCCCCCCCCCCCCCCCGCAAAACGGAAAGGCTGGCGTGTCCACGGGGGCTGCGGGTGTGCTGTGGCCCTGGGGACACACGCACATCTCATGGGGTGACCAGGACCGGGTTCGGGCTGGTGCTGAGCCACGACATGGGGCAGGGGGGGGGTCACACCTACTGGCGTCCCCAAAGACTCGCAGTATCTCCCCCCTCAATCCTGGTTGTTTTTTTTGTTTAGCAAAATCCGAGGTGCTATAAATCTGAGCGAAGAGATGTCAATTTTGAAAGACTTGGCAATCCGAATCATCCACACGGGAGAATTCTAGGTGAGGCCTTGGGGGCTGGCAGTGACAGAAAGAGCCCCCAAGCCATCTCTTCTGTCCCCTGAAATCTACTGTCACCAGAGCACAGAGGAGACCCCCACCCCGAGCCCAGAGCAGGGAACTCAGGGCACTCGAGTCTGGGGGCCATGGAGAGGGGTTGCGGCTTGGCCCGTGCCCGCCCTTTCTGGGAGGTCTCTGAGCCTGGGGGGCGCCTGTGCCCACCCTTTCTGCCTGGTCTCTCAGCCTGGGGGGCGGAGCTGAGGCGGGAGGTGAGCTGGGCACCAGCAGACGATGCTCTTAAATAAAGCCTTGGCACGGCTCTGCCATCGGAGGAGACGGCATCCAAAAATGAGGGTTTTTCAGAGGCGCGGCTGGAACAGGAATGGAAACTTATTCCTCCTAATTGCATAATTGCATAATTATGCAGTATTAAAATTATGTAAGTGAACTCGGAGGCCGAAAACCTGGCCTGGATTTCCCACACACCTGGGGGCGCCCCGAGGCCCAGGGAAGGGCACTGTGGCGTGTGTGCATGGCCAGCGAGGTTTCTACACTGGTGCCCGGGGCAGGAGGTCCCCCCGGGGAGGATGTGGGTGCTGAGTGGCCCGAGCGGACAGAGACAGACCCATCTCTTTCCCTGACGCCGGGCAAGCCTGGGGCATCCACAGGCCAGATTGAAAGGCCTGGCCCCGGCGGAGGGTGCCCGTGGGGCCAGCTGCCTGCCCAAGCACATCTGCTGAGATGCTAGTCTTACCTCTGGCTGTGATGAGCTGAGTCCTGAGGCTTGGCTGAGGGTCTCGGAGTCAGGAGGCCGCTGGCCTCTGCTCCCCATTCCCCTCTAGCCTCTAACCTCCCCCTGACCCTCCCCACCAGCCCCCCAGAGCGGGTAAGGCCAGAGCTCTAGGTCACCCTCTCTGAGAGATGCCAGGGGCTGGCTGGGTCTCTGTTTCCCCTCGGACACTGGTGGGCCACATCCGGCTCTATTTTCCTATTATTATTATTAATATTAATATTAACCTGAGAAGCTACAGGGGGGTCTGATGGAGGAGCGAGAGGAATTCACACGTTTGCCCCGGCACAGAGCGGAAGCCTGCCTGCCAGCTCTAGTCTTCCCTCAGTTCTTCCCCACCCCCCCCAGCCCAACGCAGAGGGGGTGGCCACTGCGTGGGAGGGAAAGGCGCTAGCAGGGAGGGAAGCAGTGGTGTGCGTTGGGGGTTTGAGGCAGTTTGAGGGTTTGAGGTGGGGGACGGGATATACGATAACCGTGGAGGCTGCATCTCCCCGACGCCATCTGAAAAGCGAAGACAGCCAAGAAGCCGGAGTGGAGGGTCTCGGCCACCAAGCTGCCCACTGACCCCAGGACTGGGCGTGTGTGTGTGAAGCGGAGGGGTCGGGGCTGGGTACGTCCTGTCCAGCTCTGCCACACGGAGACGCCGGTGAACGCGGGGTGGGTGGGTGGCTGTAGTTTTTCTATATGGCTAATTAGCTTCTTTTCTTGTTAGTCACTTATGTCTACCGTTTTCAAAATATAGTTTGAACAGAGAAAAATCTGCATTCCCACTGAGTTAATTCCAGAACAGCAAATATACTGTACCTCAGGTACATTTTTCTTAAATTCCCGGCGGAGTTCAATTAAATGTTTATGAGAATGTTCACTCTCCTCCTGCCGCGCAGACAGCTCAGAAGCGACGGAATTAAGCTCCTTCTGGAACAATAAAAAAAAAAGAGAGAGAGAAAAGAAAAAGATTTTTCCCCCCTCCTCTTTCTTTTTAATCATCGCACACAACAGCATTCGGAACAAGTTTTCTTAACTCACAAAGCAGAGGGGAGACAAGGTTATCGACTCCTGGCACAGATGAATGATTTATGAAAGGGCTCGGGGGTGAGGGGGTGGATGTGAATGTAACCGAAAAAAAAATACCCCCCCAAAATCAGGGCAGCGCTTTGGCTCATTGGACGCTGGCCCAGATCAAGAGTCTCCCGGAAAGTTGGGTGGGGCTTGTGCTTCTCCGCTCACCCCTTCTCTCCTGCCCCACCTCTTAAATTTCCAAAGGAGCGGTGGCATAAGCTTGTCACTGGCTGTGGAAAACATCTCCAAACCATGTCAAAATAGTACAGCGCGGCATATTGTATGGGCATATTATGGTGGAGGAGCGGGCCGCCGACAGCTTTCATATATCAGAGGCGGGAACGCTTCCAACTATGACTTACTTACACTTAAGGGTTCATAAATACGCCTTTTAAGATAGAGATGGCTTTTTAATTCCAGTAGATTTTGGAAAAATGAAGGTGCCAATAAGAAGCAAGCTGACCTTTCGTGGACGGCGCCGTAAATCATTTAAGGTTCACTTCCAGTCTAGGGAATATTTCATCGTGGCTCCAGCTCGCAGAGGGGAGGCCCGGGGAGGCTCTGTACCGACTGGGGAGTGGGGCGCGGGGTCCACCGGGGGCGCCCGGGCCGAGAGGCTCCCCTGACGCCTGCGGGGCGCACGCGGATATGCCATCGCCCTGCTTTCTACCGCCTGCACGCAAACGGGGGGCAGTTTCACGGGCGAGCACAATTCACCATGAGTTGTCATGGATTTCATTTGCATAATTCAAGAAACGCGCTGTTTATGTGGTCTGCCGCTTCCTTGCTGCCGTCCCGAGATGGGTTTTTTTTCTGGACCATAACTCGGGGAGCATTTCTGTATATATCACCCGATTATATTTGCAGCAATCAAGCTCCATAATTTCCTAAATCCGGTGATGCAATAAATTTCTGCAATCAGATTTATTAAAAACACACACGCAGATGCGAGAGTGTATTTCTAGGGTGAACTCTTTAATCTAACATATGTATGATGAGGCCCAGCACCGTGCTGAAAGACCCCATTTGTCATTGCTAATACGCATTCATCTTGCACACACAATGAAACACTTTTACCATTAGATAATGAAATAAAAGTACTATTAACCCGCTGCAAATCCTGTTCCCTCTAAGAGACGAAATGCACGTAATTGTCTTATATCATGTCTGCAAGTCGGCAGGTCTGCACGATGGTAGCAGTTCACCAAAGCCCCATCCACCTCATGCCCGTGGGGGGCTGGAGACCCTTCCCCAAACTCTCCGCCTGAGCAGACTTTGGGAGACGTGCAGGAGGGAATTTCTATTTCTGGAGATACGATGAAGCTCTTTGGAAAACCACAAAACTAGGAGCGAAAGGTCAAGGAAGAACACGAGGGGCCAGAGGGGGCGGGGAGAGACAAAAGAAATTTACAGCACAGATTTAGAATAGAGGATCGGGCCAGGCGCTAGGCGCTCTCCGAGGTGCTGAACCCAGTTCCCAGGATCCATTGTTCCAAGGATAGGGATGGGGGTGGGGGGCTCGGATAGGAACGCGGGGGACTAGGATGGGGATGAGGGAAGCTCGAATAGGGATAGGGGAAGCTCCGATAGGAATGCGGGGGACTCAGATAGGGATGCGGGGGGCTCGGATAGGGGTGCAGGAACCTCAGACAGGAATATAGGAGGCTTGGAAAGGGGTGAAGGAAGCCCGAACAGGGATGTGGGAAGCTTGGATAGGAATGCGGGGGGCTCAGATAGAAATGTGGGAGGCTCAAATAGGAATGCAGGGGCTCGGGTAGGGATGTGGGGGGATAGGATAGGGATGTAGGAAGCTCCGATAGGGGGGACTTGAATAGGTGTCTGTGAAGCTCGAAGAGGGATGCCGGGAGCTAGGATAGGGGTGCAGGAAGCTCGGACAGGGATGTGGGGGGCTCGGATAAAGATGCAGGGGGCTCAGATAGGGATGCGGGGGGCTCGGATAGGAATGTGGGGGGCTCAGATAGGGACATGGGGTTCTTGGATAAGGATGCAGGGGGGCTCGGATAGGGATGCAGGGGGCTTAGGTAGGGATGTGGAGAGCTTGGATCTCGGAGTTTCCCATCCCAGAGCTCACTGGGACACAGGCAGGAGAGGATCCAGGCTCAAGAGAGCTCAGGGAGAGAGAAATAGAAATAGTTTCTGACAATTTTCCAGGGAGACAGAAGGAATAAGGAAGACTTCTGACTTAAATCATTTAAAAATAGCCACAGTTTCCAATAAGGGAACACCAATGCAGCCTGACCATCACATCCGGGGCCCAGGGAGGACGTGTCTGTAGGAACGGAACAAGCCAAGGCAGAGAGAAATGGAGTCGGTGTGACAGGCTGGGACACAGACTCCTCTTCGCCAGGGGAGAAGGAACTGGAAGGTTTTGATCAATTTGAGTGGGGACGAGTGCTTGCTTGTGTGTTTTAATCTTAGATTTCCTCTTTTTAAATTTTAAATTGAGATTATTTTAGAATCGATCTTAAATCTATTTTTTAGAATTAGATAGATTTTTTTGTATTGTTTTTTTCTTTTTGAGTCACACCGGGCAATGCACAGGGGTTACTCCTGCCTCATGAACTCAGAAATTACTCCTGGTTGTGCTCATATGGGATGCTGGGAATCAAACCTGGGTCAGCCATGTGCAAGACGAATGTCCTCCCCATTGTGCTATTGCTCCAGCCCCTAGACTCATAGATTTTTGGAATCTTTAAAAGACACAGATGTGCCTTGTATGTGAGCGGAAGTTGCTCGCCGTATCCAGCGATTGGCCCTTATCCCTGAGATATTCCTTGTGTTCTTAGACTCATTTAAAACATCATGCGCAGGGGGTCAGGGTGACAGTACCGCGGGCAGGGTGCTAGTACACAGTACATGATGGACCTGGACTCAGTTCCCAGTACCCCAAAGCGTCCCCTGATCACCACCAGGAGTGATCCCTGAACACTACCGGATGTTCCCAAACCAAACCAAACCAAACCAAACCACACACAAGCTGAGTCACTCAATGGTCTGGGCACACAGGGAGCCCAGATTCCACCCCTGGTACTATACGGTCTTCCAAGCACCAGCAGGAGAGATACCCCTGAGCACTGAGCTGAAAGCAGGGTCCCTACCTCCACCCCAGCACTGCCAGGTATGGCCCCAAGACAAAAAAATAATGGCTACACAAGTTAAAGAAAGCAAACATCACACTCAGGACAGGGCTGGCTGCTGCACCTGCCCGGGTGGGTGGCCTGGGTCCACCAGAACCCACACCGGGCTGCAAGGCCACCACCTCTGTGCCACACCCACACTGCACACTGCAGCCAGAACAGACGGGGAGCCCCAGCAGACCCCCCAGCCCCCGCCTGGAGAAGGTGTCAAGGTCACTCATGGAACTGCTCTTCGCCTTGTCTGAATCTTCAACAGTCTTCAACCCTGATGTCCAGCCACCAACTCAATCTTTCCCTGTGGGAAACCCACCACCGCCACCAGCCATGGCGGGGAATTGCCATCAGAAGCCCCACATCTGGGGCCCGGTGAAGTGGGCATGGCAGACCGAGCTCCTCACGTGCATAGAAGACAATGACGAGATATTTGGGGGCTCAAACAAGGGCTCAGAAATGAAGGACAGCTCTGATAATCCAGTGTGGCTTTTACAGTCAACTCCCTCCCTCCCTCCCTCCCTCCCTCCCTTCCTTCTCCCTTCCTTTCTTTGATTTCATTTATTTATTTATTGGTTTTGGGGTCACACCCAGTGATGCTCAGGGGTTACTCCTGGCTCTGCACTCAGGAATTACTCCTGGCGGTGCTCAGGGGACCATATGGGATCGACCTCAGTTGGCCAGGTACAAGGCAAACGCCCTCCCTGCTGAACTATTGCCCCGCCCCAAGGACAACACTTCCATGGCCCCGTTTTCAGAGGCCTCTTCCCCACAGCTGAGGATTCCCCCCAGCTTGGCCTGAAATAGTCCACATGTGTACAGAGCCACGCGTGGCACCACATGTCCAATATTTAGCACATTCGCACATCATTTGAAGGCTGCCTGGGATGAATCTTATATCTAGACAAACCAAGAGCTTATAACATACCCACAAATGGATCATGGATTCTGAGAGTTCTGGATTATACATACAGGTCAGTAAGAATCTCATCGCTCTCCACCAAAATGAGGACCAACACTTCAAAAAGTTCATGGTATCAGAGTGAAGACATCAGAGCTAGTCCTTCCCCCCCGCAAAAGAAACAGCCCTAAAACAAACATTACAAATAACACTGATATACCAAGAATGTATGTGTAGCAATAATAATATTTTCAGCATCTGTTGGTAGCTAAATGAGAGAGACAAGTATTATTCTAAGGACTTATTTCCATGAAGATACATGATCTCAACTCTTTAGATGAAGGAACTGGGATGTGAAAAAGAGAATTTCCAAAGGCAAACACACACACACACACACACACACACACACGCACGCACATACACACATGTGCGTCTATAGGATACACAAAAAAAAAACAAAAAAGAAATGAGAAGAGAATCAAACTAGGTTCCTATAAAACAACTGAACACAAAGGAAGGAATGGAGAAAATACGGAACAACAACAACGAAACAACTACAGGGAATAAAGAACAAGGGACAGAGAAGTAGAAACAGCACAGGGGCAGGAAGGCACTTGTGGGTGGCAGCTCCAGATTGACTTGGGACACTGCACAGGGTCCCTCAAGCCCCACCGGGAGTGACCCTGAGCACAGAGCCAGGAGTTAGTTCAGAGCACCTCTGGGTGTTGCCTCCAAATCCTGCCTCAGGAAGAGAGGAAGGAAGGAAGGAAGGAAGGAAGGAAGGAAGGAAGGAAGGAAGGACGGAA